ACGATAGTATTATAGAAAACAATTCTGCATTTACGAAGAACATTTAAATTCCTAGTGCTTATACCTATAGTAAAAACGAAAAAAAAAAATTCTCCCACAAAAGTAAGAAGTTCTTTTTTTGTTGACAGCTAAAGCTTTCGAGATCAAAAAAAAAAAAAATTTAATATTGAATGCTTAAAATTTTTATTATTCCAGAGGAATCATTTTTCACAAGTTTTGTTTAATTTTATTTTTATCCACGATCGTTTATTTTTTTATATGTTATTTTTTTCTAATATATTCTATCTAACTATTCAACCACGTTGATGGCTATAGAACGAAAAAGTTCAATTATTAAATATCTGAAATAAGTGGAGCATGATGCGTTGTTAATTCTTTCACGTTTTTGCTACGAACAAACATTCTCACAAAAATCGTTACTCGCAAAATCTAGCAACAAAAGAAGTATGGATCAGTGGTCAGTAGCAATTAAATTTTCACCTAAAGAATTTGAGTGGACAATTTTAATCCCAGATCAATTTTCCAGGTCTTTATATATAGATTCATTTAATAAATCTTTCAAGTACTTTTTTTGCTTTCAAAATAAATCTCTTAAAATGGAGAATAAATATTAGATCCAGAATAATACTAAGATAAAAATAATATTTAATTACATTTTAAAGAATTTAATTTGAAATTTAGTGGAAAGATATTGAATTAACTCATCAATCGTGTGGTAATTTTATTAAACTGAAAATTGATGGAAATAAAGTTGAAATTTTGCCAAGACCTAATTTTTACATTGAATCCTCTTGAACTTTCTGTTTGAAGTAATTAGCCTCTCGACAGAATATCTGATCACACTGTTATTCTATTTAGTTTGGTGTTTTCATATTTATTTTCTTTATCTCAAAGATAGTTTAATGGAGAATTACTTTCTACATTATAACTTTCAAGAAAGAGTTATTATCATTAGATTAGGAACATCAAAGGATCACTCTATTTAACTGGCAAACCAATTTGTAGCGTGATTTCAATGGTGAATTACAGCATTGTTCGCCATTTGAGTAGTATAGTCTATCCTATTGTTGTTCGTACTAGCGGTTCATCAGAAAGCTTGAAGCTTGCTAGGAGATTTCAGTTCACAAAAGTAGTACATTAAACAAGTGAGCCCTGCTTTCACGTTCAAATGAAGAACGAACACTCTTCTATCAACACAAAAAGCTTCAAAGTTTAAAAAAACTTCAAAGTAGTCTGGGTGTAATCATTTTTAATTGGATATTTTTATTTGAGAAAAAAAAATGTTTAGAAAGTGTTAATAAAATTTCACTAGACTATTAGCTTTTAAAATAAAAAATAATTTTATTAAAAATAATAATTTAGATTTTATCGTCTAATAGAAAATAATTACAGGAACCATGAAGTTTACGTGAATTGTTTGCATTTATCAAGTATTATGATAGCATTAAACCATATAGCTACGTTATGATTCTACTCTGGTCGTTTTAGAGGTTGTTATCTGGCTGAATGACAAAGCTGCAAATTTAAACAAGGAATAAAACCTTTACCAATTTCTGTCAAGTATATTTTAATGAACAGATTATACGAGAAGATATTTTATAATGAATGATAAAGATTTTTGCTTTATTTGTAACATTCCATTTTCAGCACAATTATTATCAAATGTTAAAGTCTTCGAAAAGGTTTTATAATTTGTAGACCTCAAATATTTAATTAGTGATATCATGATTCACTTGACTTTTCTGACTTACATCGTGATTTGTAAGTTCGTTAGTTCTAATACTTTCAAGAATTTTCATTTTGCAAATATTTTCATTTATATTCATTTCTAAATTGAATAAAATTCAAGGAATTTCAAAAACAGTTATTTTTAACAGGATTACACTTTTTAAAACTATTAGTTAGAGTGAACATTTGTAATCTTAAATCAGCACATTCTAGAGCTCTCATTATTTATATAATTTTGAATACTATTAATTTCATCAGTCGTTGATAATTCTTTGGAGTTGTGAAAAAAATAAGAATAGAATTCTCAAGAGGAAAATGCTTTTGTCAATATAATCTGAACAGATATTGAATAATATTATATTGAAAGAGTGACAAGAAGTAGAAAAAAAAGGTCAATAATACTTGAAGTCGTATAAAAGACTAGATGTGACTTTTAATTATCCAACTACGCTTAAATTATCGATTGATAATATAATTTGTATAAACGTCACGTCGTTTGATAATGAAAACTTCCTTTACTACTCTTGACAATTCAAATAATGTACTTGACTTGAATCTTGTTCAAATAAAAGAACATTATTCAGCTATTTTATCACTAGCATAAATTTCTTCAACTCGTGAGATCTTAAGAGCTACTGTTGTTTTCAAGCTTTTTTATGATTAATTGAGAATCTGATCCATCTTATAAAGTCTGTCATTCAGTTTTGTTTTGTTAAGTCACTTGTTGCCATTCTTCGCGACAACCTGTTAGGCCACGACATACATTCAAATATTGATCTACAACATTTGCCAGCCTGTGACTAGCAGCAGGTGGCGTAGTATTCACGCGTATCGCTAATGAAAACGTACAAGTTTTTTTAATGTACAAATACAATAGGTGTATGACAAACAGATATTACTAACAGAATTTATGATATTCTATATATAGGGAGAATTGTTGTGAAGGACAAAAACCGATTTAGAATGTGATAAAAAGTAAAAACGATAGCAAAGTGACGTAATGACTTTTCAGTTACTCAAAAAAGCTCGTAAACATTTTAGAGGTTGAAAATTAATTTATTATTCAAATTAAGCGCACGTGCATTTTTTTTTTATTATTGAACTTGAATATAATGCTGGTTTTTAACCCTCATAAAAGTCAGAATTTTCACTCAAGTGATAAAGAAAAACTTTGAAAAGTTTTAATCTTCCTACTGAATAATGGAACGAAGAATCAATTACCGATTAATATATTATAAATCATGCATAAAAATGTTAATTATCTTTTTTTCTCACGTAATTATTGCAGATAAATTATTCTGACACTGATATGAAAAATTATTTTTTTATTGTAAAAGTAAATAATTAATTTGACTGTCAGAGTATGGTAATGTAAAATATGCTAATAAAGCTCACTTGACGGTTGAAAGAGTAATTTACACTGTGTTATCAGAGTTGAAAATATCTAACATAGTTAAAATTCTATCGAACTATTTCCTACTTACCATGTCATTTATAGATTGAGAATAGAAATAGAAATTAGAATTGAGTGCCATGTTTATATTATTTAAAAATAAACTGACTGTTGAATAATAAAAAATGGCTCGTATATTAAAAATTACGAGTTTCAAAAAGTTACATGAGCGAGCCACATGTTGAGTCCCCGAAACCCTTCCAGATGTCCTGGCAATAAAACCAAGGAAAAATTGAAAGGGAAACTTCCAATAAAACTTCAAATACAAAATCTGGCGAAAGGATTTTCCCAACCTTTTTTTTATTATCGCTGGCGTGAGAAAATCCTTTCCACCTCCTTCACCCACCCAATGCTTATCTCACCCCACCACGCCCATGTTCTCCCTCCTTGAGGAAGAGCTACAAAAATCAAGGCAGACAAGGGCCTGTCCTTCTTGATCTTGCACAGATTCCTTTTCGCTTTCGTTGAAAGATCACGGACTTTGCTTTTTTCGATCTATCGTTGAATTGTCGTTGTTCTGGGTATTGTGTGAAGTGAGTTGTTCCTGCGATACGTCTGTGACACCTTCTGCCTTGCGATCGAGCTTCTTCTGGAACTACCTGAAAGCTGATTACCATCTTCCCGCGACGTGGTCCAGGTTGCAGTTATCATCGTCAACTGGGAATTCCCGATAACCACTCATCAGCTGATCCAGGTTCTTCGTTGAGGATTCTGCAGCAAACAATCTTCAGTCAAAGTAAGAGTTTGTTAACAATCCATTCATAAGTTCTGCAGAAGAGTCTCCACAGAGACTAAGTGCTTCTGCAGAGATCTCCACGCAGATCAATCCGCTATTAGTTCCGTAGAAGGGTCTCCATGCAGACTAAGTGCTTCTACAGGGATCTATATGCTTCCTTGATTATTCGTTCTGTAGAAGAGTCTCCACGCAGACAAAGGGCTTCTACAGAGATCTCTATGCAGATCACTCTTATTCTTTGTGCACCAACGATTTCGAACCTTCGAAGCGATGCTCCTACATCCTTCAGCAATCTTGATCTGTCCGATCCAAGTCTGACAGAATTGCATCTTCATTCTTTTTCTTTCAGTCAAATCAAGTCAAATCAAATCACATCAAATTAAACGCTGATCCATCCGTCACCACCTCCAGAACCATCGTTGGACTCCGTGCTGCTCAACTCTCATCGATTCGCGGATCACCCCTGATTCCCTCATCTCCACCATAGAGATCAAACATTTACTATATTAAATTATTGAGATTAAAATTTCTAAATAACCTGATAAATTTGTGATTGTTTTAGCATTGTAATAGTAGCTTAATATCATTCTTTACGTTATTTATCTCATTAGCATTAATATTACCACTACATTGGTGTACCCTCCAGAGAGGCAACGTTTTGTATTAATTTAGTATTATCGTTATTATTTTCAATAAAACCAGCTATTTTTTAAACATTTTGGTCCTTCGAGCCGGATCTGTGAGTGGTACTATCGTGTAAATCGCGAACGAAAACTGACGCGATGAGGGTTGAACACATAGAGCGCCGGATTGAGGAGCAGATGAGGCTAGTTGAATCAATAGCTTTAGCATACGAGTCCTGTATTCGACCAGGAATAGAGAATATTTCTCGTCAACGAGTGGAAACGAGGCTTGAAGCAGTAACTAACGATTGGGAGAAGTTCCAGGTTGCTAACACTGCGATTAGAATTGCAGCGGAAAAAACTGGACAAACGCGACAGCAGCAGACTGCACTCCTTACCTTACTTCTCAAAAAATATATTTAATGAAGCTCAAGATCACTACCTAGAAACTGTCGAAAAGATGAAAACATTAATGTCTCAGCATCAAGAGAAAAACTTCAATAGACAAGATTCGGGTCTAGCCACGAGAGCAATGAACAACCAGTTTTCGTCAGCAACTCATGATCCTCGATTACCACGAATAAATCTTCCACGTTATGATGGAACTCATCAAGATTGGCTGTCATTCAAAGACTTGTTCTCATCAATCGTTGTAGCGAATAACTCAATCTCGGATACAGAAAAGCTTCAGTATCTAAAAAGCTGTCTGCGAGGCCCAGCAGCTCAACTACTCGACTCCACGACCATCTCAGCTGACAACTTTATTCAAGCCTGGGAATCTCTAAAATCATTCTATGATAGTCGGCGGATTCTTGTCAATTCCACGTTAGATGGATTCTTCGCAATCAAAGAAGTCAAACAGGAAAGCGGAATGGAATTGGAAAGATTATATACGTCAATAACTCAAAGCTATAGAACATTGAAGACATTAAAACGACCAGTCGAATACTGGGACGACATATTAGTACACATAGTAGTTCGGCAAAAACTAGACTCAAGGTCGATCAGAGCTTGGGAACAACACATAGGCTCATCAGATGAACCTCCGACGTGGGACAAACTGCAAACCTTCATCATCTCCAGAGCAAGAACCTTACGAGCCATTGAAAATTCGCAAGGGAAAAGGACATCTAAAACATTACGCCCACCACTGAAAAGTCATTTCACAAGTCATAACAACAAAGAAGAATGGAAAAAAGAGTCATGTCAGCTCTGTTCAGAGAAGCACAAACTTACTCGCTGTCCAGCATATCACAGGAAAACAGTGCAACAAAGAAACCAAGTTGTAAAGGACTTCAAACTGTGCTTTAACTGCCTGGGACCACATCAGATGTTCAAATGCCAATCAACAGCCAGATGCCAAACCTGTGGTAGGAAACACCACACCTCGCTACATGAAAAACGACCATCTCCAACGAATAATGCAACGCCTTCAGCATCATCACCGAAACAAGTTCACCATGTGCGATCAGCTCCAGCTACCATCATTTTGCCAACTGCAATAATCAAAGTTTCTAACTCTGTTGGAGAATTCATACCCATCCGTGCCTTGTTAGATCAAGGCTCAGAGATTTCTCTTATTTCAGAAAAGATAGCACAAAAGCTTCGCCTAACACGGAAACAGTCCTCACTTCCAATAATTGGTATTGGTGCATATCAATCAGGAAATACTAGAGGAATTACATCAGTCAAAATTCAACCTCGCTTCAAATCAACCTTTAAGCTCACTGTTGATGCTCACATCCTTCCTCGATTAACATCAACAATCCCAGCTGAAAAAACATATCCAGCTTCATGGAATCATATCAAAAAACTACGTCTAGCAGATCCTGACTACACAGAACCAGGAAACATTGAGATGATCATCGGAGCTGATGTTTATGGAACGCTGTTGGAAAAAAAAGTAATTCATGGTCCACCTTATACCCCAACTGCTCAGTCGACAAAACTAGGATGGATCATCTCTGGCCCAACCTGCAAGTCATCAACGAAACATAACGCTATATCCAATCATTGCTCAATTGACAATGATCTGCATAACCTATTAGAGAAATTCTGGCACCAAGAGGGAAATTGGAGACTCAAAGAAAACCTTATCACCTGATGAGAAAGCTTGCGAGGAGATTTTCAAGTCAACTCATTCAAGAAATCCTCAGACGGGACAATATATAGTCAGGCTCCCCTTCAAATCTGATCTTCGTCTCCTTGGAGATTCAAGGCCAACAGCGATGCGGTTGCTTCACAGCCTTCAAACCAAGTTCGCGAATGACGCAGAATATCATCAACTGTATTCATCATTTCTTAAGGAATACGAACAGCTGGGACACATGATCAAACTTCCCAGCGACACTCCACCTAAACAGCCATCGTTTCTCTTGCCACATCATGGAGTAAAAAGGGAATCAAGTACAACCACCAAACTAAGAGTCGTCTTCAATGGCTCTTGCAAAACGATAAACGGTCAACCTATCAACGAGTTATTGCATTCAGGACCCAAGCTTCAGCTTGATCTGTTCAACATTCTCATATGGATCCGCCAACACCGATACATGTTCTCAACTGATATTGAGAAGATGTATAGACAGATTCAAGTCCATCCAGAAGACTGGAAATTGCAGCAGATCCTTTGGAAAGACGATGACAAAGTAATCACATTTCAACTGACCACAGTAACTTACGGGCTGGCGTGCGCACCATATCTTGCATTACGTTCAGTTTTGCAGCTTATCGAAGATGAAGGAAAAAACTTTCCACTTGCAATTGACACGATGTTAAAGGGTAGATATGTCGACGATATATTTGGAGGAGCTGACTCAATCAAAGAAGCGGAACAAAAGGCGAAACAAGTGAACAATCTCTGCATGGCGGGCGGCCTCCCACTACGCAAATGGATAAGCAATAATGCTGAAATACTCAAGGAAGTTCCAGACGAATATAAAGTATCAACTGACGAAATACACATAAAAAATCAATCAGTCCCATGCTCTTGGACTACTATGGAATCCATCAGAGGACTACCTCCATTTCAAATTGCCACCGCAGCAGCCAAAGTTTACAAAACGAGCAGTCCTCTCCAAAATAGCTCAGCTGTTTGATCCACTCGGGTTATTGTCTCCAATATTTATAACAGCAAAAATTTTCATGCAAGAACTCTGGGCCATCAAACTACATTGGGATGATGAGCTCCCTGCAAATCAACAGAAGACGTGGACCATCATCCTACAATCTTTGAACAGCTTAGAGGACATAAAAATCCCGAGATGGCTAGGAACCTTTACAAAATCAATCATTGAATTACACGGGTTTAGCGACGCATCTCAACTTGCCATGTCAGCAGTAGTCTACATCTTAACGAGACACAATGACCAAGTCACCACTACACTCCTGTGCTCGAAAACGAAAGTTGCACCACTCAAACGGCTCACCATTCCTCGGCTTGAGTTATCAGCAGCAGTTCTCCTCACCAAGCTCCTCTCACAATGTATCACCACATTACAACTCGAAACCGCACCCTGTTACATGTGGACTGATTCAACTATCACCTTCACCTGGATAAAAAATCATCCTTCAAAATGGAAGGAATTCATCCATAACAGAGTGTGTCTTATTCAAGAGACCCTCCCTCATGCTCAATGGCGTCATGTTCCAGGAGAGCAAAATCCTGCAGACTGCGCCTCCAGAGGAGTAACCTCAGCGGAACTCACAAATCATCCATTATGGTGGACTGGACCAGCTTGGCTTCACGATGATCCAATCACGTGGCCGAAACCACCAACAACCAAACATGACCAGAAAGAATTAGAAATGAAGAATTCATCAACAGTGCACGTTCTTCATACCTCAACATCACTTAAACAGTGGGAGTTGTTATATCGATACTCCTCATATCAAAGGCTCATTCGAATCACTGCTATATGTTGGAGAGTTATAAACCAACTTCGAAGAAAATCAACCATTCCACCATCCTCGCCACTAACTCCAGAAGAATTAGATCACGCCACAAAAACACTGGGTCAGACTAACGCAGCAATACAAGTTCATGAAAGAGTTATCGTTGCTTCGACATCAGACCCAAGAACTGCGTAAGTCTCACCCCTTCATCAAATTATTTCCATTCATAGATCAACAGGGACTTCTTCGAGTTGGTGGACGACTTAGGAATTCCATGCTACCTCACAATGCGAAACATCCATACATTCTACCTAAGGAATCTCAGTTAACAAGGATGATTATCCGAGATGCACATGAAAAAACAATGCACGGATCAACTCAAGACACGTTATCGTTTATCCGTCAAAATTTCTGGATCATTGGAGGAAGAAACCGATCAGATCATTCATAAACAAATGTCCCAGGTGTATTCGCTACCGAGCCCAAGCGTCCTCACAGATAATGGGACAACTTCCGTCAACCAGGGTCACACCAGGACGAGCCTTCTACACTCAGGAGTAGATTATGCAGGACCCTTTATGATAAAGACCTGGAAGGGTCGATCAACAAAAACCTACAAGGCATGGGTGTCACTATTTATCTGTCTATCCACATCAGCAATTCACTTGGAGTTAGTCACTGACTATTCAACTGACGCCTTTATCGCAGCTTATAAAAGATTCACAGCCAGAAGAGGGATCTGCGCTACCTTAACGAGCGATCGAGGTACCAACTTCATGGGAGCTGATGCTGAACTTAGGAAAACTGTTCAACCAACAATCAAAAGAGTGCAAACAAATCACCTCGATGATCTCTAATCAGGGAACCAAGTGGATCTTCAACCCCCTGCATCTCCACATTTTGGAGGAGGAAATGGGAAGCAGGGGTAAAATCTATGAAATATCATCTTCGCAGAGTTGTGGGCGAATCCCTGCTCACGTATGAAGAGTTCACCACCGTTCTCTGCCAAATTGAGGGTATCCTCAATTCAAGACCACTATGTCCTCTCACTAATGATCCCCAATGATTTGGATGTTCTAACTCCCGGACATTTTTTGGTTGGCCATCCAATCAACTATACCAGAACCTAATCTACAACATCTCAATTCATCACGACTGTCAAGATGGCAACATCTGTCTCACATGACTCAGAGTTTCTGGGACAAATGGTCAAAACAATACCTACAACGGTTTCTTACTTCCTATAAGTGGAACAAAGCAGTTGAAACTCTTCAGGAAGGAAGTCTAGTACTTATCAGTGACGAACGCTGCCCCCCTGCAAAGTGGCCACTAGGACGAATAACCAAGCTTCATCGAGGATCAGATGGGATTTCCAGAGTAGCCACTGTGAAAACAAGCACATCAATCTTTGTAAGACCAATTGTTAAACTTTGTCCATTGCATATCATTTCTGAAACATGTTCGTCGCCGGAGTCAACGAAGGCGGGCGGAAATGTTGAATAATAAAAAATGGCTCGTATATTAAAAATACGAGTTTCAAAAAATTTACATGAGCGAGCCACATGTTGAGTCCCCGAAACCCTTCCAGATGTCCTGGCAATAAAACCAAGGAAAAAATTGAAAGGGAAACTTCCAATAAAACTTCAAATACAAAATCTGGCGAAAGGATTTTCCCAACCTTTTTTTATTATCGCTGGCGTGAGAAATCCTTTCCACCTCCTTCACCCACCCAATGCTTATCTCACCCCACCACGCCCATGTTCTCCCTCCTTGAGGAAGAGCTACAAAAATCAAGGCAGACAAGGGCCTGTCCTTCTTGATCTTGCACAGATTCCTTTCGCTTTCGTTGAAAGATCACGGACTTTGCTTTTTTCGATCTATCGTTGAATTGTCGTTGTTCTGGGTATTGTGTGAAGTGAGTTGTTCCTGCGATACGTCTGTGACACCTTCTGCCTTGCGATCGAGCTTCTTCTGGAACTACCTGAAAGCTGATTACCATCTTCCCGCGACGTGGTCCAGGTTGCAGTTATCATCGTCAACTGGGAATTCCCGATAACCCACTCATCAGCTGATCCAGGTTCTTCGTTGAGGATTCTGCAGCAAACAATCTTCAGTCAAAGTAAGAGTTTGTTAACAATCCATTCATAAGTTCTGCAGAAGAGTCTCCACAGAGACTAAGTGCTTCTGCAGAGATCTCCACGCAGATCAATCCGCTATTAGTTCCGTAGAAGGGTCTCCATGCAGACTAAGTGCTTCTACAGGGATCTATATGCTTCCTTGATTATTCGTTCTGTAGAAGAGTCTCCACGCAGACAAGGGCTTCTACAGAGATCTCTATGCAGATCACTCTTATTCTTTGTGCACCAACGATTTCGAACCTTCGAAGCGATGCTCCTACATCCTTCAGCAATCTTGATCTGTCCGATCCAAGTCTGACAGAATTGCATCTTCATTCTTTTTCTTTCAGTCAAATCAAGTCAAATCAAATCACATCAAATTAAACGCTGATCCATCCGTCACCACCTCCAGAACCATCGTTGGACTCCGTGCTGCTCAACTCTCATCGATTCGCGGATCACCCCCTATTCCCTCATCTCCACCATAGAGATCAAACATTACTATATTAATTATTGAGATTAAAATTTCTAAATAACCTGATAAATTGTGATTGTTTTAGCATTGTATAGTAGCTTAATATCATTCTTTACGTTATTTATCTCATTAGCATTAATATTACCACTACATTGGTGTACCCTCCAGAGAGGCAACGTTT